TTTCCATTATCCCTACATATACCCATTATGGTAACTTAATTTAAGTTCCTTAACAGCAACCCAGCTGCTCCGGCACATTATGCTCCAACTCTCGGAGCTCAAAGTCCACAACGCTCCGACCACCTCAGCCCATAGCTTTGCCTGCAAAAGCCCTAGTATATATGTATATATATACCAATATACTATAGTAGTTTCCATTTTCTTTTCCAGTATCCCGATATAACCCCAATATAACCCTAGCATAATCCCAATGGGTACCTACCAGTCTAGTGCTGCAAGTGGCAAACTGGCAAAGCTCAGAGCAAAGCCGTGAGGAGAACACTTGGACGATTTTCTTAGCTCTTCCTCCGCCTGCTTTGCATCCTTGACCTGCTTGCTTCTGTTTTGCTTTGCCGGCTCGCGGTCAAGACGGGCTGAGGTGGCACTTTTATAAGCAAGCACTACGCTGCTCATGCGTTGGGAATACATTGAAAAACACCAGGTATATGTGCATTATGTGCTGCTGGTTTCGTGTCCCAGCCCATTTGTTCGCTACAAAGCTCGCCCCGTTTAAGCATCAACCATCAGTTGACATAGGGTTGCCCTCGAAACCATGCCCTGCCTTGCCACTCCAAATATTCCATTCTGTGACCTGGATGTCTTCCAGCTGCGGGCCTTTCCACAGTTTGGGAGCATCCCTACATCTTTAGCACAGTCTGGGCCCGCAGACAAGCTCAGGGCAAAGAATCCTCTAAAGCATGCGCCTTTAAGCAAGTCCTCCGTGTGCATGGGCTTTACCAACGGGCTCAAGGCGCTTTCGGTCTCCAGCAGGTTTTGCACAGGCTCACTGGCTAGAATGCGGTCAGCAACGGTGAAGGCAATCTCCTCAATCGACCTGTCAGGCATGGAATAAGTAATCCGGACTGGCTCGCTCAAAGCCCACCATCCATCATCGTATAAAAAGTGCTTCTTCCACTGCAGAGCAGCTAGATGTTTGTCCAACAAGACTGCTTAGAAGGGAAGGAGGGTATGGATTCTCGTCACTGTCCCTACGTAACACGACTTTACGGTCTGCCGCTTCACTCCTTGCTGACTTACTCAAAAAACGCATGGAAATGTGGAAGCTGCTCCGGAGGACCCCACTCATCCCCTTGTAATGCCTAGCAATCTCAAGGACTCACCCTAAACCATACTCAGGCCCTACGCATTCTGCTAATCTCCACGCCCCATGGGCTTGGGGCCTCCCAGGCTCTGCACTAGCCGCGGAGGACAGCAGCTCCTGCAGCATCTCCTGCATAACAGGCATGTTCTTCAGGTGAATTTAAATAAGGTTGAGGATTCCAGGTTTCCGTGATTCTACCGTTCCATACGGGAGCAGTACAGATGCAATGCGATATGAGGAGAGAAACTGCACCTGCCACCATATGCCATGCCTGAACAGCATGCACATCAAGCCGTGCTTCCTCTGGTGGCGAGTCCGTAGGGGTGACCCGCGTAATTGTATACTGGTTCTGGTAACACACTGATCGTACTTACTTCAGATAGCTCCTTGTTGGACTGTGCCAAGACATTCCGCCAGCGCTGCTGGGGCGACTCCAGGCTGAAGCCAAGGGAGAGCGAAGGCATCTCTGGATTCGCAGCCTGAAGCGGGGCGTGGCGGTTGGCAGCGGTGGCGGTGGGGTGGCTGTCTGGCATTGAAGACGATACTAAGTAGAAGCTGCCGTAGTAGCAGCAGCAGTAGCAGCAGCTAGGCGCCAAGACCAGGAGAGACATGTACCGTCGTTGTCGTCGTCCCCTGGTCGACGAGGTCGTCGTCGTCGAGGTCGTCGCCGTCGTCGTCGTCGTCGTCGTCGCCGGCGTCGTCGTCGTCGGCGGCGTCGTCGTCGTCTGTGGTGGTCGTTGCGGTCTTGGTTGTCGTGGTCGTGGTCGTGGTCGTGGCCGTGGTGGTTGCGGTGGTGGTTGCGGTGGTCGTAGTCGTGGTCGTCGTGGTCGTCCTGGTCGTGGTCGTCGTGGTCGCGATCGTGGTCATTACCGCTGCTCCTCCAACTCCTACCAGTACAAGTACTAGCACCAGTACTAGTAGTGGTGGCAGTGGTAGTAGTACTAGTAGCAGCAGCAGCAGCAGCAGCAGCAGCAGTAGTACTAAATGATAAGATCAATTGTAGTAATAGTGGTAGGACGAGGAATACTAGCCGCAGTAGCTCCGGTAGTCCCGTCTCGCCACCTCCATGGTGCCAGCAAAAGAGTCGCCTGCAAGCTGTGCAATCTGACGGCGCGCAAGGTAGCCACGATTCCTGGCCTAGTTAAAGCGATACGACAGTGCAGCGCCCATGTAGCGCCGCCCTGACTCTTTGCTGCCGTGCAGGTGTCGCAGCTATTGCAGTACCATGAAATTATGCGGCATGTGTGCTGAGCTGGACTGCCTACACACAATAAACACACTTGTGGAGGACCAAGCTTTCAAAACTCATCATCTTGAAACTAACGAAAACACGGCCCCCGCTTCTGCAGAGCCACAATTCAGGCATGGAGTGCAGGTAGGCAGTGAGCACACTGGTAAGCAGAAGCATGCCAGTATGGGCCTTGGCTTTGCATCTGCAACCTTTGCGAGCAGCATTATGCGGAGAAGTCCGCGGAGGATGCGTGCCGAATTCGTCGCAAGAGAGATAGATTGAGGAGCACAGGCCATGAACAGAGCAGTGTGCCTCAACGACACCACACACGCTGTTGGCCTATGGGGCTTGTAGTTCCATGGCTCTGTGACAAGCTTCTCGACTGGGTAGTTGCAATTTGCAGACTACGCCTGCCTTGCAAGCATTCCGAGAGGCTGAAAACTTGTGAAAAGGCCGCTGCAGGAATCAACGATGTTGAGGTCTTGCGCTTTACTAGTGAGTCAGTGACAGCCTGTTCATTCAAACCTGCAGGCGTCAGGAAAAATGGCTACAGCGTCACAAGATGGGAGCTGCACCTGCAGCACAAACAAGAGCCGCAGCTTAAAAGAAAGGCTCTTTCCTCAATCATTGAGCATCCGGCCATAAGCCCTGTAGGGGTCTGCTGCGCTGCCAGGCTGGAAGAGAACAATGCCATCCTCGCCGCATGCCAAAAATGCCCAACAGAAGCCTTCCCACCACTCTAGACCAGGGCAGCTCTAGGCCGCACACGCACTGCAGCCAGTATTGAGTTGCTGCAGTCCGCCAAAGTACACAAGCCTGTCCAGCTGGAGCATCTCACTATGACACCATGAAACTAACAACCGAGGCAGCGTCTGCATGGAGTGGCAAGCCCCCCGCTGCTCTCCGGCGGTCCTTAGCCATGAGGACCAGTTCTGCGAAGCTCCACTTCGAAGCAATAGTTTGACAGTTTGACAATCACTTTCGGTGCCTCCGCTCCTTGCAGTGGTCTGTACAGAATCCCAATGAGAATCCCCATAACTTGCTCCTGCATTCCCTATGACCAGGGACACAGATTGTGAAGGGTGATTGCGCTGCTTCCACCAGGCTCCAAGCGTTGTAGACCTGCGCGGCTTCTGTGAGCTGCCGATGTAGCTGCTCCACCTCAACCTGACACGTGGGGCCCTTCAGCAAACCAGTCCCAAGACAGTTTGCTGACTAACTCCGATTTAAACTGCACTTCTACGTCAGTCCATTCTCAAACTACATGGTCCGCAAAATGCCCAAAAAGGCTCTCTTTGAATTGGTCTTCGAATGAGAATCCAAAAGCAACTGCATCAATGCTGAAACCTGGGACCCTGGCCTGCGTCCCGTTTGTCCACGCACCGTGCAGCAATCCGAACGAATCCGGTTTAGATGTGTCCAGCACTGCTGCCTAAGCACGCCATCTAGTAAGCTCTGGTCAGCCACCTATTGCAAACGGCAGTGACCGGTAGAATCCCTGAAGCTCATAGAGGTCATAGTCGTCGTCTTAGCCCATCACTGCTAACACTACCTACCACCACTACCACCAAAACCACCACCACCAGCAGCACCGCCAGCACCCGCACCAGCACCAGCCAGCACCACCACCACACGGCTGTTGCAGCTACTGCTGCTCCTACTAGCACTCCTTCTCCTCCTCCTGTTACTAGTGCTGCTGCTACTGCTGGTATCTGCTGGTACTAGTAGGTACCCGGCGGGGTAAAACACCCAAGAAGCAGAAATAGAATGATATGATACAATGGTATGACAAGTTTCCCCGCTGGGCACCTGCCAATGATGATGAAATGACAGTATACCCCAAATAGAGACAGTAAGCACGTCAGTCAGTCAGTCAGTCAGTCAGTCAGTCAGTCAGTCATACGCCAGGCAGCGCGTGGACAGAAAAGAAACGGCAAACCGTGTCACGCCAAACTCGGGGATTCTGTACAAGTCTGACTAGCTCACGGTGACCGTTCACAATTTGAAAGGCTTTGTTCCTAACCTCGGTAACCCATTCGCGTCTTGGCCTCCCTACCCTTCTAACGTACTTGCTGGTGGCTGCTTGCAAACTTTCGTGGATAAAGGACGAGCTGTGCATCAGATGGCCATACGGAAACCTCAGAGCTTTCCCAAACAGTATCAGCTGGCGTTGCAGAAGAATCTGTGTGGCGGCAACGCAGGGGGCCCGTTGTAAAACATGTGCATTCGAAATTCGCGAAATGAATGAAGGAGCGATGCCCAAAATTCTTCGCAGACAGCGGTTTTGGAACCCATCCAAACGACGATGCTCAGCTGCTGAAAGGCACAGGCAACTTATTTAAAGTATACATTAATTTTGACTCGATTCGAACCTTCCGAGTCCAGTGTAGCGATGAGTGTTTCCAAATCTTTTGCAACTGGAGAAAATCGGATTTGGCCATTCCGATTCTGCGTCCAAGTTCGTGCCCAGGGAGACCATCAACACTGAGAACAGACCCAAGATAGTCCATACCTGATTTGGGGGCGATGCGCTCGCCTGTGGGAGTGAAAATGGAAGCACTACATCGCACTAATAATGACAGATTGAACAGACACACAATGTCACAGCAAAGATCAGAACGTGATAATGACCGCAACAGCAGCCTCTTGTTCGTTGCGAGGCAGCCACAAGTGTTTTGGGGTGCGGGCGCTTGTGGTTCAGCATGTTTGCCATGTTAGTCTTTCAAAGTTTCCATGCAGGTTCAGGTTTGATTCCTGACCTGAAAAGGGCTGGCGACGAAACCTTGCCTCGCCTCGTTTTTGGACACCGCGACGGTGTCCAAAAACGAGGCGATACACGATTTCATGGGCTTTCAAATACACTGCGTCCGCCAGCCCTTTCAGGGCCTCAAGCACGTGACTGTTGCGTTTCTGTGGGCTTTATCCCCGCCAGGTGCCTACCAGTACTACTAGTACTACTAGTAGCCCTAGTACTACTCGCACTACTAGAAATAATAGAACTCCTATAACAGTAGTCGTCCTCGTCGTGAATGGCGTCGTCGTCGTACTCGTACTCGTACTCGTAGTCGTCGTCGTCGTCGTCGTCGTCGTCGTCGTCGTCGTCGTCGTCGTCGTCGTCGTCGTCGTCGTAGTTGTGGTCGTAGTCGTCGTCGTAGTAGTAGTAGTAGTAGTAGTAGTAGTAGCAGTGGTAGTAGTAGTAGAAGTAGTAGTAGTAGTAGTAGTAGTAGTAGTAGTAGTAGTAGTAGTAGCAGTAGGAGTAGTAGTAGTAGAAGTAGTAGTAGTAGTAGTAGTGGTAGCAGAAGTAGTAGTA